ACAATATCCAAAATATTTTGGATAATAGTATGAAATGAAATAATTGAGAGGTAGTTGTGGCACTACTTGGACAATTCAATCAAAGGGAAAATATAATAAAATTGGCTCTCTTAAAGAGCTTGTCTTATGGTAACTGTATACTTTATATGCATGAATGTGCCTTCTATACAAATGAAGCAATTCCATGTTCTCTCTCACAAGACCAACTCCTAAGTTTGATGTTATTAGGATGAGAATTTTCTTTTCTTTTCGTCTTGAACTCTCTTGGATTGATGGCAGGAACTAAAAATTTTGCAACGAGCCCACAAACAGACAACGTCGAGCTTTGTACTTGAATGAATGAAGAAGTTTGAGATGGAGGGTGATTGCTGCAGGGTATCGTCGGCAGAAGGGTTATGCTGCTTTGTATTTGAATGAATGAAGAAGTTTGAGATGGAGGGTGATTGCTGCAGGGTATCGTCGGCAGAAGAGTTATGCTTGTAGTGGCATCTGTTGTTTAAATGTATTTCATATATAGGCAATTTTGTTCAGTGTAATCTTACAGAGAATTAAATTATCTCCAGGCAGTCCATCAGAGGTATTTGTTTTCTAATCTTAAATTGCTCATTGGTGGTGTCTTCTTATCTCTGATGAGTTAACCTATGTAATATCTTAAATTTTTTTTCCTTCTAAATTTCTGGTGAAGAGATGGGTAGAATTAACCTTGAAACAACTGGGGGACTTCTTAATCTGTTTTATTTTGGTTTATTTGTTTCCATTTTCCCCCTCCAGGGGAGAGAATTGCCAAAATTTTCCATCTCTAAGGTGTTACCATTAATGGTAGCTTTATAGTGAACAAGAAGAGCCAGTAAATTAGAAGTATGGTATGGCGGGTATTTGTTCTAAAAAGTAGGTGGTGGCAGAAAATATTATCTTAGAAAATATCTGTATTCATATTTATTATAATACATATATGGTTACAGATATGGATATGTAGTGAAATGTTCATATCTAATTCAAAATATTCAAATATAAATTGGTCATATAGCAGCAATAGTTTTAATCTTAGATTGATGGATTTGATGTTAATTTGTTGATCAAGATATCTAATTGTAGCTTTGCAGGTATAAATAACATATTATTGAGCTCTTTTGTATCATAAAAGCCATGTTTTTCCTAATATTATCTACTTCTCGTATCCGTTTTATACCTCATATTTATATTTGTATTCATATCTGTTATTTGTAGGCAGATATGTATATGGTAAGCATTGTCTAAGCCGTACCCAAACTGTTTACCCTCTACTAAATATTATTCAAATGCTATAAATCAATGTGCTAAATTCCGTGAATACAGCTCAATCATGAGTTTGAGCAAGTGAGCCTTCGAAATATATGTTAGACCTTATTAATATAAGGGAAAATTGATTGGAGCAAATTGAAAACTAATGTTTTATGCATCTTCCTCCCTAACTAAAAATGTTATGCTACCGAATTCTTACGCGAAAAATTTAGTGCAACTACCACTCCAATATTGTACAAGCCTACGACCCAATAATACTCTTTCCAAAATACCCTTCATATTTAAAAACTAAAGAAATATGGTTGCCTTCCCCCTTCGCACGTTTATCGAGATCCTCTGCAACCGTATTTTCTCATCACCCTCTTCTTCTCAAGATTCTGCTTCTCCGTCGCTGCCGACGAGGACCTCGACTGCCGACACTATAAGTTGTTCGTCTTAGACCCCTATAGCTTCGCTCCATCTTTGTCTGCGCTCCATCTTCGCCCCCTACGGCCAGATCAAGGAAGCTACCACCGCCAACAAGGACCCCACCGGCCGCAAGCTCGTCGTTTGTAGATTCGGCTAGGAGACCACCACCTACCCCAAATCCCTCTTCTTCGCAGAGTCTAAATTGAACTAAACCCTCGGTTTTTGGTGAATGATGCAATGAAGTGTGGGATTATCTGAAAGCTGGGAAGATAGCTGAAAAGGGATTGATGTACCTTAGCGGCTGCGCTCTGCTAAAAGAGACTGATATACCTTAGTGGCCGTGTTCCCTTGCTATTGGTGATTTTTTTTGTGATATTTGCAGTTAATATGTGACATTTGTCCCTAATTTGTGATATTTGTCTTTTACATATGACATCTGTTGCTGATATATGACATTTATTTGTGATATTTGTAGTCAAAATATGACATTTGTCTCACATTTGTAATATTTCTCTTTTACATGCGACGTATGTTACTGATATGACAATTATTTGTGATATTTGTAGTCAAAATGTGACATTTGTCTCTCATTTGTGATATTTCTGTTTTACATGTGACACATGTTACTGATATGTGATATTTATTTGTAATATTTGTAGTCAAAATGTGACATTTGTCTCTCATTTGTGATATTTGTCTTTTACATGTGACATATGTTACTGATATGTGATATTTGTGATAGTTTTAATTTGTGATAGTTTTAATCTGTGATAAGTGATATGAAAAGAGCTGACTTCGACTTTATTGTTTGACTATTGCTTTTTTGAAGCTATGGTACTACGAGATCACAAACATAAAAAAATATGCCAGAGTCAACGTCACTTACTATGTCATCCTATCATTCACACTTAATCTAATGAGAGGCTACTAAATAAGAAAAAAAAATGTTGACAATCCACAAAAAGATACAAAAGGGTAAATTGGGCATTTATAAAAATACAGTATATGTACTTTATACTTTCTTGGGCTAGGGTGTTTCAGCATGAATATTTGGGTCAAAGTGTCTAAATGGATTTGATTTTAGTTAGGGGTGGGGAGTGCTTAACTTTTTGGGAAAAATGTGTTGGGGCTCCAAAAGCAGAAACTTCATGTGCTGCAGCCCCACCTAGTTTCCCCCATGTGGTTCAGCCCCTTGAAGTATGCCATTTTGTGCTGCAACCCCTTTTTAGCAATTATTACATATCAGCTAAGCTAAAATCCCGAAAATATCCTTATCCCCTCTCCTCAATCCCTCCGACCCAGTACTCATATCCTCTCTCTCTCTCATCTCATCTCCTCTCTCTCTCTCTCTCTCTCTCTCTCTCTCTCTCTCTCTCTCTCTCTCTCTCTCTC